GAAATCTCAGGAATCAGCCAAGAATCCGACGAAAGTACCATTAGAAGCATGGCCATCCGCGACTCGAGTGTGACAGAGGATACATATCGACCTCGCTGGACCTATGCAAGAAGTCTTCTACTTGGTAGTAATGGATGCATACAGTAAATGGCCTGAAATGATTGAGATGAGCAACATTTCGGCTGCAAAAACGGTGAAGGCATTGAAGAGCTTGTTTGCGAGGTATGGATTACCGCAAACAATAGTGAGCGACAATGGTACCCAGTTCACGTCGGACTATTCAAGAAGATGTGCGACGAAGGTGGAATTGTCCACATAAAGACTGCTCCGTATCACCCTCAATCGAATGGACAAGCAGAGCGTTTCGTTGATACGCTGAAACGCGGCATCAAGAAACTAGAGGGGAGGACAGGCCAACAGAAGAGACTCTAAATATGGTGTTACAAGCGTATAGCAACACCAAACACGAACTTGAACGACAAGACGCCAGCAGAATTGTTCCTCGGCAGAAACTTGCGCACAAAATTAAGTCTGTTATTACCGATGACACAAGATGCAGAAGACCCACTCGCACGAATAAGACAAGAGCGCATGAAGAACCAGTTCGATCAGAAGCATAGAGTCGTTCGGAAAGAGTTCGAAGTCGGTGACTTAGTGTATGCTAAGCAGTGGAAGCCACCCCACTTCCACTGGATGAAAGGAACTGTGATGAGACGTATTGGACGAGTCAATTATGAGGTTATGGTTGGTGATGAGATAGGCAAGAAGCATGCAAATCAGCTACGGCATCGAAGCGATAGTGACCAGGTCGCTATACGACAACAACTTCAACAACAATCCGAAGCCTTGAAGATACAGATATTCTGACAGAAGACGAACACACTACCGAGGAATGGCAATGCTGCTGAAGGGAGTTCCGAGCAAGCGATCGCGAGCGATGTGCCAGCACCCGTGGATTCAACGACATCGACATCAAACCATGAACCCTCCACGCCATCGACAAGGCTTCGGAGATCGAGCACAACGAGAAGACCTGTACAACGGTTCCAGCCTAGTGCATAATACTTTATTGTATGGTTGTTTCATTAGTTTTGTAGTTGTTTAAATTTCTATGTATGACCGATTTCTTAGCTGTTCATATTTGTAGTTCATGCTTTTATCGTAGGTTAGTTTTGTGTAACTACCCTACTGGGGGAGGTGTTGTGTTAATGTCTGATCAGTTGTTTTCTCGTATGATCTGCCCTCGCTGAGGCGCCTGCGGCCTCAATGCGCGGGAAATAAGCGCTATAAAAGGCGCTCGCTGCTAGCCATTGTCAGTTCGACTGTTCACTCATCGCCTCTCTTATTTTACTGTTCTCTATTATTTTCTAATAAATATTCTTGTTCCTCTCGTGTGCTGCCTCAGGACGAAGAGTCGACGTGTCCGAAGTCGAGGACACAACAGTCAGTTAGTTATGAAACCACTGAGCTTTTCGAAAGTGAGTTGGAGAGCGCTTTCGTAAACTCTGCGTGATCGCTGATATTGACGGACTGACTCCAACCTTAACATAGGTTTGCCACGCTTTTACTCCACAAAACTCTGTTTGCAATGTCCATAAAGCGCTGGATTTGATTTATCACATTGCCTTGCACCTTTTGCAACAACTTCTTTTTTTCCCAGGTGATGCAGTTGCAATTTAGATCTGAAAAACTTTTAACGAAATTTCTCTGCGAGCAGATTCGATTTAACCCTATATCTCCTTTCTTTCTGTGTTTTATGTCGTATTTCACCCGATGAATGAGATTAGCTAAGATTTTGAAGTTTCAAGCTCTCCTGTTTTATCTCGGGATCTGAGTTGGCTTTGATTGTGCAGGGTGCTCCACTCAACATTCAGTGGATGTCAACTGTGGCTGAACCAGAGTGCTCAATCCCAAAAATTTTTCCCTAGTCATGCACACAAGTTCACTATTGTTTGGCTCACGTAATGGCTACATTACAGTATTTTCTGTTGCTTAAAAATCGGATTTTGTGGTGCAAAATTAAGTCAACCCTATGGTGAGGTTGGAGTTCGTCCGTCAATATCAGCGACTACGCAGAGTTTACAAAAGCGCTCTTTAACTCATTTATCAAAAATGCTCAGTGGACTTCATGACTATTATCTGAGATGAGCAAAAGCTTGAAAACTCCTAAAACCAGCTCTTTGTAGAAGCAGATTTGGTGCTCTTAAAAACAAAAAATTCTGTAAACATCTATCTTCGAAAGGAATGACAGGTCGCATATGTTACAAATGTTTTATAATTTAGTATGTAACTGTACAAAAAATGAAGCCAGAGAATGATATGGTGTTCAAAAAAACCAGGTGTCTTTATAATTTTGTCCAGCTTTCGGTAGGGTTTTTTTCGAATTTTTCTATTTTTCTCCGTTCGAACATAACAAAATTGGAGGCCGCTTTATGACAGGTTAACATGCGCACCACACAGCAAAGTTTTAGACAGATTCATCGACAAGAATGCAAATTACGACGATTTCCAGAGTATCTTTATAATTATGGCCAGCAATACAGCACCACACCTTGCTGGGGTGGCGAGCAAGAGGAACGATAGCTTGTAGGTGTCAATAACTCGCGCATCTTTTAACGTCATTTTTGTCGACCAGCACGCAGGAATCTACAGCATTTCCTCCTATTACACTTTCATATGAACAGGAGGATGAGATACCTTGTTTGCTTGAAAATGAGATGTGAAAATAAATTTTGAATATCAAAAAAGGGTTTCAAAGGTGAAACTTCAAGTATTTCAAGTTTCTCTTGCGATAACATTACCAAACTGCACTTATCAATGGGCTCTGAGCAGAGCTCATCGAGTAAAGCATTTACACCAATTTTACTCAAGTTTATAAGTCTGAAAACTGCGCATTTTGAGGCAGATAATGCATTGGCAGCAGCGGCCGGCAATTGCTATCGTTCCTCTTGCACCACAACAAGAGTTTGGAAATTCTTGAACCAGCTATTTGTTAGAGCAGATTGACTTTTGATGCTTTTTAAAGCAAAAATGCAGTGATCACTTCTGTTTGAGTAGGATGACAGGCCGTAGGTGTCGCAAATGCTTCATATTTTAGGATGTAAATGTACAAAAAAAATCGGGAGTTAACGAATGCGATAATGATTAGAAAACCAGGGTGTCCTTTTAGTTTTGTCCAGCTTTTATTAAGGGCTTTTTCGTTTTCGTTTTTCTCCGTTTACGCTCAACAAGACTGGAAGCCATTTTGAAGGGTCATGGTAGGTTAACATGCGCCCAAAACGGCAAAGTTTCAGACAGATTTATTGACAAGAACGAAAACTGCGACGATTACTAGTGTGTCTTTATGATTGTTGCTAGCACTGTTTGTATAGATATACAATTTATGGTTTTTATTGACCGTAAGCTGTAGCCATAGGCTTCGCTCGTACCTAGCGCAAATTCATCCAGATAGCAATCGTGATTTGGCAACTACAAAATAGTAATCTTTTTCGCCGGATCGCATAGCATCAGCATGTAGCTTTTTACAGGGATGGGTGTCATTTTCTTCAGCGAAGTGCACTTTCGAAAAAATTATGAGTCACTGTGGCGATGCCATATCGCGCAGGGTCAGAACAGATGCCATAGAAGACAATCAGCAGCATTCCTATTTTTCTTGGTGCTTGATAGCCAGCTTATACATGTGAAAAACTTTTGCGTTGAAGTATCAAGGCAAAAACTATAAACAATCAACTATTCTCTACAAGCTCACAGCTTATACGCGTCACCTTGACAATGAAGCACAGATGCAGGGTGTCCCGGAAACGTGCACACTCTTTCTCTCACATTAATGTCTTTCGCCGATCTTTACGTGTCATTCTGTATAGCTAGCTTAAATCCAAAATAAAGCGAATCAATCGCTTTTAATGCTGTAGGGTTACGGTAGGGTCTTCGATGAGAAATTAATGTTAGTAAGGCCATATTTTGTCTCAGAAAGAAAACTATACCCTTCAAAACTCCTATATTAGGCTAATAAAGTCGATGATTTTGGATATAAAACTTGTATTACTGTAAAGCTCCTTTCTAACAAGGGAAGCGTGTTTAGTCGAAGTGACGTTTTCAAATGAAACTTACACCACTTTGAAGAGCATTGCGCGGTGGCTCCAAATCTGCCTTCACTATCTGCCATGCTCCTCTGGACGCCGAGTTGTGACCTTTTTTCGGAACGAAATATGATTGCAGAATTTAGGTAAAAACAATTGTTACAACCTTTCCACCGCTCAGATAAAGCAATGTCAAGTATTAGCATATTAGACAAACCGTATGCATTGCATAAATTGCTCTGATACTCGACACTGGAACATTTGAGCAAATGTGGGCGATTTTGCTCAAGTTTTGCGTCCAATTTTTTGACCTGAAAAACGCTCATAACTCGGCGTCCAGAGGTGCTTGGCAGATAATGAAGGCAGAATTGTAATCAATGTTTAATACTCTCCAAAGCAGTATGGGTCTCATCTGAAAAGCCACTTCGATTATACACGCTTCCCTTGTAAGTTAATCCACTAAAACGGTAACGTTTTTCCATTCTCAAAGATTAAATAATGCGGACAAAACTCGTAAAAGTTGTATAACAGAAACAGCATGCGTTTTTAGGATTAGGATTTTCTTCAAATAAATTTTGTAAAACGGTCTATTTCAAAGTGGCTCTGTATGCTAGAAGTTCTCACCGCACTTTTACAGTAATGAAGAGCGATCGTGATCCATTCTTGTAAATTCAAGTTGAAGCCAGCTCTACCAAGGTACTCAGAAATTGCCAAAAACGTTAATGGATTTGTTAAACGATCAAACAGTGCTCATTTTTTCAAGACACCTTGTATTTGTGGCACATAAGCGAAGCTAGACCAAGCAAATATTTTATCTAGGTAGTACTTTTTCCTCTATTGATAGAAAAAACAAATTTATATCTGGAATATGACGCTATAGTATAGAGACGTCACGCAGTATGCTATGCGAAAGGAATCAACGTGAGAGTGCATTTTTTTGAACTCGGTGTCTTCTCATCAAAAGTAAAGCTTGCCTAGCCGACCACAATCCTATATCACTGAGGGCCGTCTTCACAAAATTCTTACAGTCAAGTTTCGCAACTTCTAACTTCCTTTAAGCAGAAACAATGAATCATGAGGCTGAAGAATGTGTCAATGTGCTAACCGGAATAAGGAAACGCTTCAGCTGAAATAAAATTTACCAGAGTGGAAGATGTGTAGTCAATCATGGTCACATAGTGGTAACCATGATCATCTTCTGCCGCCCTCCCAGCACAATCGGTCGTACAGAATCATAGTTTAAGCACGTAAGCAACAGACTATCATGATTCTTCCAAGATTGCTTTATTTTTAATCAAACTGCGAAGTATACAATAGGTTGAATTTATGTTTTGAAATTAGTTAAAGTAAAGAAAATTACACTTCATTTCATGAGACGCAGACGTGAAGCCGGAATATTTTCTATATATAAAAAATCGAATCTTCAAACCGCCATTTTCGGGAAGAACTTCTGCAGCATGGCCAGGGCCCGGCACGAGGTGGGCAAATGACAAGCTGGAAATCGTTTTTGGTGGAAAAAGCAAGAAGAAAATCGTTTTTGCGGGGTCCGGGGCAAAGCCCCGGAAGAAGATTCCAAGTACAAGCAAAAGAAGGTCGAATCATGCTTATTATCCTACCACGTCACCCCTGCTTTGCAGAGGCTCGCACTGATTCTACTCTATATGTCTTACTTATTCTCGCCTAATAATGGCTTTGAAACTCACCGCGCAATGCTGGCTATCGCGAATAAAATGTAAACAACTACTCATTCTAAAATCTTTTACATGCAAGATCGGTGATTTCGCGTGGATGTAACTTTTCGCAGAAGAACAAATGCAAGTTGAATAGGTTTTGAAACTTTTTTGGTTTGGAGTCGCCATGAGGATAATAGTTACCGTAAGCTACATCTCTATGCAAAAATCTTCTCAAATGCTCAGGTAAATCCACGGCGTATTGACCATTTACGCGAACACTTCTTTTTGGAGTCTTTTCGTAAAGTAGCAAACCTTTGGTCACTTTTTGGTCTAAAGTCCATGACTTACACATCAACCTGCTAAACACATCCACGGCTTTGCAAAAAGCGTTGACACGGACCCAATTTTGCGGGCCAGAAGTCAAGTGGATCCGTTTGACGCGCGAATTCTGAGGGACGCACCCAGCGAATCTGTCCGTGCTTTTGCATGGTGGAGTTCTACGTTGGTAGCATGCGCTATGCAAAATTTGAGCTCTGGATGTTGGCTGGAACCCGCTGTATGAATTTCGTTACCGACAGACAGACACACACACACAAAGTCACGTAAACACCCTTAGCCCGTTATTATAAGTTACCAGTGCGTCATCTCCGCTCCGCGGAGGTTCGCACTGGCTCCCTATCCGTATGCTTTTCTCTTCGCATGAGAATGGCTTTGAAACTCACCACGCGATGCTGAGCATCACAAATTAATCGTAAACAACTGTTCATTCATGAAGCATCTCCATGTGAGATCGGTAATTTTTAGGAAAAACTTTGCTGCAAGGAAACAAATGCGAATTCGAAAGGATTGCTGGATTTATTCTATTGATGATCGTCATAAGGATAATAGTCATCTAGGGCTACATTTCGGTGCGAAAATCTTTTCAGTTTTTTCAAATAAAACCTTGCCAAAGCGACTATCTACGCGCTCATCAATTTTTGGCGCTGTTTTCGCAAAAAAGCAAACTTTTTGAGCACTTTTTGGGCTAGAATTCATGGCGCGCAGAGTTACTTGTCAGGCAAATCATAACTTTGCAAAAAGTCGAATTAGCGACCCAGTTTTGCGTGCCAAAAGGCGCGTGGACCCGTTTGACGCGCAAATTTTGAGGGACCCGCTTATCAAACCGGCTTGTCCTTGTGCATGGTGGGCCTACACGCTGGCACGGTATGCTATGCAAAATTGCAGCCCGATAGCTTAGTTGCAGCTTCCTCTATGAATTTCGTGACAGACAGATTTTCACACAGACACACAGACAGACACACAAAAAAACAGACGGCCTTAGCGCGTTATTATAGTAGGATGATACATCTAATTCACTGGGAAGTAATGTTGTAAGTCCTCTTGTCTTTGAACCTTGGCATGTTCTTGCAGGTGAATAATTTTAATTATTATATTATGCCGTACAGGTTGTTATAGATGATATCCTACTATAATAACGCGCTAAGGCCGTCTGTTTTTTTGTGTGTGTGTCTGTCTGTAAATCTGTCTGTCACGAAATTCGTGGAACGGTTGCCAGCCAACATCTTGAGCCCAAATTTTGCACAGCGCATGCTACCAGCATGAGAGTCCAATATACCAAAGCTTGAGCGGATCCGTTCACTGGATCCTTTGAAAATCACAGCCAGACGGATCCACTTGGCTTTTGGTCAGTAAAATTGAGCCTTTAGCAAGACCTTTTGCAAAGTTCACGGATATGTTTGACAAGTTAATCTGCAAGCCATGGACTTTAGCCTAAAAAATTGAACTAAAGTTTACTACTTTGCGAAAACGGCGCCAAAAAATATTTGTTGCGTAGATGCTCAATTTGCCAAGATTTCACCCGATCATTTGAGAGGATTTTTGCACGGAGATGTAGCCTACAGGGATTATTGTATCTTATGGCGAAAACCAAGCCATGAAAAGTCCAAAAACCGATTCAAATCTGCATTTGTTGTTTTGGGAAAAGTTTCATCCAAGCGAAATTACCGATCTCACATGAAAAAGTCTTAGGAATGAAGTAGGTTGTTTACAAATCCATCGTGATAGTCTGCATAGCGCGGTAAGTATCAATGTCATTATTACGAGAATGAGTAACGCATACAGATAGTAGTACCAGTGCGAACCTCTGCGAAGCAGAGGTGACGCACTGGTAACTTATAATAACGGGCTAAGGATGTTTACGTGACTTGTGTGTGTGTGTGTGTGTGTGTGTGTGTGTGTGTGTGTGTGTGTGTGTGTGTGTGTGTGTGTGTGTGTGTGTGTGTGTGTGTGTGTGTCTGTTACGAAATTCGTGGAGCGTGTTCCAGCCAGTGTTCTAAGCCCAAATTTTGTATAACGCATGCTACCTTCATGAAAGGCCAACATGCAAAAGCACGAGTTGATTCGTTGAGTGGATCCCTCAGAAATTGCGCGCCAAACGGGTCCACCTGGCTCCTGTACCGCAAAATTCGGTCCGTATCACCACTTTTTGCAGAGTCGTGGATGAGTTTGGTAAGCAAATGTGCAAGCGATGGAGTTTAGCCAGAAAAGTGGTCGAAAGTTTACTACATAACGAAAACGGTGCCAAAACGAATTGGTTGTGTAAATGGTCAATTTGCCAAGGTTCTAGCTAAGCGCTTGAGAAGATTTTCGCACAGGGATGTAGCTCACGGTTATCATTACCTTTATGGCGATTACCAAGTCATGACAAATCCAAAAACCTATTCAAATTTGCGTTTGTCTTCCTGCGAAAAGTTTCATCCAGCAAAATCACCGATCTCACGTGAAAAGACTTTCTAAATGAGTGGTTGTTTACATTTTATTCGTGGTAGCCGGCATAGCGCGGTGAGTTCCAGTGCCACGATTTTACGAGAATGAGTAAGGCACATAGATAGTAGAGCCAGTGCGAACCTCTGCGAAGCAGAGGTGACGCACTGGTAAATAATATAAAGAAATATAATATATTGACACTGTATCAGACACTGTATTATTATATAAATATAAAGACAAGCGAACAAACTACCAATAGAGTACCGTTGTGCTTGCCTTTTATCTCCGAAAAGGTCACTGCCGCAGTCAAACAGTGTCTGATACAAGCGCAGCTTAAGAAAGATGTCGTCTTAGTTAACATCCCGCGAGACGACATTAGAAAGCTGTTAATGCGCAATAGATTGTACGATAAAACTTGTATCACAAGAGATTGCGTTGTGTGCCCATACGGACAATTCGGAGATTGTGCGAAATCTGGTGTTGTGTATCAAATCGAATGTGCGAAATGCTTTGCCATATATATCGGTGAAACTGGCCGGCCACTGGGTGTGCGCATCAACGAACATCTGGCTAGCAAAAAGAGGCAAAGCTTGATTAGTCCACTGGGAAAGCATAAAATGATCGAACATAACGGTGTTGATTACGATGTCAGGTGCAAAATCTTGGATCATGAACACCAAATTTCTGCACGAAAAGCCTTGGAAGGCTCCTATATTCTTGCTCGCGAGCCCAAACTAAATAGCAAGAATGAGAAATTATCTATAACTAGTGACTTGATGCCGTATCTGTCGTACTGTAAACTATAAGATTGTGTGCCCTACTTAAGCAGCCCCACAGTAGCTTGGGTACTCATTTGACACCGCACTCGACCAAGCACATCCGGAGCGGCTGTTAGTTACAACATCGGTGATATACTTGGTGGGTGACCATCGCCCCCAAACTCCCTGCTTCCACTCAAGACGAATCGAGTGGCAAGTCGGTGGAGATATTTGGCGGCAGAGATCGTGTATCAATGTGATTGACGCCTTTTCAGCCCCTGAAGACGGCGTTTTGCCAAAACGTCGGGCAATAAAGTATATCATCTATAACAACCTGTACGGCATAATATAATAATTAAAATTATTCACTGGGAAGTAATTTTCATAAGCCTCAACGCACAGCAGGGTTTGCGCTTTGCGCGCGCTACGTCGCACAAGCGTTGCCGTTGACCAGCGTAATTACATGATCAGTACTCAACGCAGGTATAACGATAAAGCACCAAATTACGTAAGCGAACGAAGAGAGGCTAGTGTAAACAAAGTATGAAATATTATGAAAAACTTATTTGAATGGGATGTGTAATAAGCATTTTTTCCAAAAATTTTGCAAAACCGGTAAATGAAGATGTGAATTTAAATGGCTCGTTTGCAGCGCACAGATGACTATACGGTATAAAACTTGGTAGGTACATGAACGCGGGCCTGCAGGGCTCAACTTAGAAGTTCCATTGGAAAATTTTGTGGCTGAAGGTTGTGGCAAGCTTTTTTCTGAAAACTTACCACTATCAAGAAAATGGAAAATGGCTCGTTTGCAGCGCGGAGAAAGCGAAATCGCGCGAGACTTGGTGTGTATACGCGCAGTAGGACTAATGAACAATGTATGAAAAATTATGAAAAACTTATGTGAATGAAGAGCGTGCCCAACTAT